CTGCTGGTTTTGAGAAAAGCACATTTTGAAAATCAGCATGGTATCCAGGCAATCTCTAAACAACCCGTTATTTTTAGAGTTTAAAAAAAAAAAAAAATTTAAAATTCAAAACCAGAGAGGATGTGTGTGTGTGTGTAGAAGTGAAAAGGCTGAGCGCGTGCAGGGCAAGTGACAAGCAATGAGACTTCTGTAGAACGTAGACTGAAATTTCGAAGGAGAGGCAACACGCAAGAGACCGATGACTACATATAAAACAAAAGACTGGCCATTTTTCATTTTCATTTTGCAGTGACTCCTAACTTCCCAAGATCAAGATTGCTTGCTCATAGGAAAATGGAAGTGTTGCCATCAACTTCAGGCTGAACGTGGCTAAGCTGAAGGTGCGCTTCAGACTCTCCAAACGTGTTAAGCGTTTAAAATTAATGATGGGATCTTACTTAGATAATACAGGGATATTGATTTATTAGGTTTTTCTGAAAACCAAGTTGCATGCTATTTGTTACAATGAAATGAAATGTTCCCATCTCTCTATTCTGCATATGACAGGGAACTTTATCTCTGGCTTCTATTAAATCAAAGTTCTTTGACATTGCTTTATTGATTGTGAGACAGCGTTTTGCACTGAAATTAAACTGTGATCAGATTCCTTCCTCATGGAATTAAATTTGAAGATCATTCTACCATGGAAAAGTATCACCCACAATGTAAGACAGCAGATGGAGACACTCCAATTTATTTGGGAACCCTCATTAACCGTTCGAAAATCATTAAATTTTTAATGGTTACAATATTTTACATACTGTATCAATAGATGCACAAATTAAGTAAAGGTGACTGCAACATTATCCTTTCACATATTTTACTGTATGGAGCATTTAGCGAAAATTTTTCTTTTGTTTGAGGGATACTGAGTTGGAACATACACATGAAACGCAATGTTGCATACACACATTTGTACTCAAAAGTAGATAGAAACACTCCTTTGAACCTGTGCTTTCACAGCCCTCCAGTCATCTAATGTTTCCCTTCTACATATTCCAATACTTCATTCCAAATATTATTTAATGAGTGCCGATTCTTTGCTCATTGCAAAGC